TTTACCATAATGGAATTTTTAAACTTGTTGATTAATAAACTTTGAACATTTTTTCTGGGATTTTGTTGTGAAAAGTAAAAAGTGTTAACATTTTTTATAAGTGAATTACTATTTCTATGAAAACCAGAAAAATCTCATGGCTTTCGTTAAATGGCGGTATGACTACCTCGTTTTTGCTAGACGTAAAATATTCAGACGATGATGGACAAAAGCGTTAAAGGTCGTGCGAGTTGTACTCCTATGTCAATCCGTTGAAGCGCTAAGCGATTAAGGCACATTTTCCCTACAACTCAAGAGCCCTGTATCAGATTTTTACAGGCCTATGAAGTCAAAAAACAGGATCTTTTACACTACTACATAATTTAAATTACAAACGAAATGGATTAAGGTATAGTGATTACGCCTGAAACGTTAAAGGAAAACTCTACGCATTTGAAACGGAAAAATCGCGAAGAGCGTGTGTGCATGCTCAAAAAATGAAAATGGAATATGTCAAGCAAGTTCTTCCCGTCCCTATTCCCTTTTGATAATGAGAAAAGACATGTGCCTAGCGGTGATAAATTTATTACACTTTTCATTTACATTTTGCCACATTATAAAGAATGGAATGTAAATACGTACAAGTACATACATTTTTTTTTACAGAATAGGGTGACAAACGAGCACACAGTCCACCTGATGGTAAATGGTTGCTGCCGCCCATAGACATCTACATCTATCCTCGTTTGCGAATCAAAATGCAGATGCGTTGTCACCCGTGAGGACTGAGATGGAATGCCTCGTTTACAAGTAAAAAGGATCTCCGGTTCTCTACACTCACCATACGAAATACAGCAGTATTAAGCTACTATTTCACGCTGGTATTCTGTGAGAGCGTGGTCCTTCCCCGGTCGAGCCGACCCATTCGTGCTACAATTATACTACTAATATAACTGCAGCATGGCTCTAGCACGTATAAAATATAACACAATATAACATATATAAGTTTTATTTTTTTCCTACTTTTACGAAATAATATAATCGATAGACAGGGGAAGTGAAGTGGCGCAAGAAAAAGAGAAAGTTTAAATCATTTTCGTTTGCAACGAACAAAAAAAATTTAATCCTTTTTTCACTAATCTTATAAAAAAGGTATTTTTTTTACTTACAGGTAACATCTAATTTAGTAAAGGAATCTCGATAGTAAGGAGGCGGAAAGGAAGGATGGTGCGCCCGACACGTCAAGTGCTTCCCATGCGCGGCTCTGGGTACACCCATTTCCAACACAGAGCGCGCTGCCCACACTCGCGGCCGTTCTGCTTCCGATGTGTTTGTGTGGCTCCATGCTGTTAAACTTTCTTTGTCTAGAAAATAAATAATTCATCACTCAAATAGTTCACGTCAGTTAATTATACGGGTTAAAATTGAAATCATTGACATCATCATGATGCAACTGGAATTTAAGTAACGGAGAGCTAACGCTTTATTGTTGCAAGTAAGGACAACTTTAAAAATCATATTAGACATTTTTCAAGTGGAGATTTTTGCATATAAATAAAAAATATTACCAATATAAATCGTCCGTAGGAATTAAGGAGCCATTTTGATATTTATTTGTTGACCCAATCCTGGAATTTGTATCAAGTTTATTCAAAAGTATTCAAGACGTTGACGTGGCTTAGTTTCTAATTTTTGAATTGAGTAGTCACTTAAAACTGGAAAAATAGTCGATGGATATTTTTTGAAAAGTATGATTTGATAAGTAGTATTAGTACATATTTTCCAATTTTATGGGGTTTCTTAATCCAGACGTTTCTATAATGTACGTATCTGCTAAAATATAAATTGATTCGTAAAACAATAACACACACACACACACACACACACACACACACACACACACACACACACACACACACACAGACACACACACACACACACACGCACGCACACGCAACACACACACACACACACACACACACACTCACACACTCACACACACACACACACTCACACACACTCAAACACACTCACACACACTCACACACTCACACACACTCACACACACTTACAAACACACTCACACACTCACACACACACACACACTCACACACACTTACAAACACACTCACACACTCACACACACACACACACACTTACAAACACACTCCCACACTCACACACACACACGCACACACGCACACGCACACTCACACGCACACGCACACGCACACGACCGCCACGCCCCCCACACGCACGCGCACACGCACACACACACACGCGCGCGCGCATTTATTGCAACATTCTACTACATATACGTGAAATCCTGCATTGTAAATAATCTGTATTTTTAAAGACTTCGCATATATAAGACTTTACTTAAAACTATGATAATAAACCGAGTTATATTTGCGATAACAGAATTCTTTCTACATAATAAGCAGAACAAACAAAAAATCTTACACGCAATTTCTACAAAATCGGCTAATTGACTTCCAAATAGAGGTAGTATCCACGTTTTAATATCAAAAGTGGCTCTTCAATTCATAAAGACGCCAATATAAATAATAAACACTATTACTAAAATATGACCTCTCAAAAGCATCACTCGCCAGAGATCACAAAGTCTTGCGACTTTGCTCTTTACTTGTTTGTTGTAACTTTCGTCTGCGCCGTCACTTATTTAAATTACTTTAAAATAATACTCAATATGAGCAAATAATATATTTAATGGATGCTTAAGATGTCAATTTCATTCTGTAGGTATAATTGAAAAGCAGTCTTATTTTAAAAAAAAAAACTAACGTAACTAACACTAGGAATTTCTTTTGCATCAAGGAGGTCTTTTATTAATTTAAATACAAATAATTATACTAAACATATAGTTTTTTTAAGAACGAAGAGTTAAACTCTAGATCAAATCTTCTAAAGGTAAGTTGATGTTGTAAACCATAGATACCATTATCCTTGAATAATTATTAAAAGCAAAAAGGGTTCCGGTAGACGTTCTGCCAACGTCTATTCAACGCTGGCATTCTGTAAAAGCGTGTTCTATCTCCCGATAGACCATTATATGCGTGCTACAAGCAGACACACTGTACTAAATATTTTTTTTAGACTTAAATATAATTTTATACGAGTATACCATGTTTATAATATTTTCAAAATTTTACATTTTCTGATCGCAATTAAAGCAGGCAGCAAGAAAAATACTTATTATTTCTAGCCTACCTAAGTACCATTCGATATAAGCGGGCGGATTGCCATATCTAGCTTCGCAGACGACGGTCGCCCTGGAGCCAGCCGGCACTGTGATGTTCTGACCTGGCAGTACATGAGAACCGTTGAAGAGGATTCTAGGCGATTGTGGTGGAACTCTCACAGCGAGTGTCGCAGGGGCACTGGAAAGGGCATCCTAAAACAAAGTGATTTCGCAATTTCATTTGTGGGAATATTTGTCAATTACTTTACTAATGTAAGGCCTTAAAAATGAAGTCTCGTTTTAAACAAAATTTGTAATCTAAAAGAGAATTTTATTTAACAATTAAAGGTAACAAACCCCGTAAATCCTGCGTTGAACCAAAATCGGTTATTAAAGAGGTTTTCCGTCAAGATATTATCAGTAGTAGTCCGGTGTCGGTAATGAACGTAAAGCCATTGATCCTGATCCTGAGTCTAATTTCTTTCCGGTCGTGTCAGATTGCCGCCCCATTGGACCATTAAAGTGAAGGAATAGAGAGTATACATGTGCTTGCGCACACACTCGTGTAATATTATCCTGTCCTGCAAAATTCGGTCTAGAGGAAACTATTATCAGCGCAAAAACATAACCCACATTTAGATGTTCGCCTCTGTAGGGTCAAAAAATAGAAATATTAAAAAAATATATTTATTAAATTAAAAACAAGATCAGACTATAAATAACATCCAAGTAAACCACAAAACATATGTTTAAATGTTAGTTACCTGAACATTGTAGTTGCTAGCAGTGACCTGGCACTGCCACTGTCCGTCGTCGAGTTGCAGCGAGGCTGCGCGCACCCACAACGAGCAGTCACCACTTATTGTATTATGCTCGTTGGCCCATTCATACTTGCCGCGGTAGATTCCAACTGGCTGCAAAAATAAATTCTTAAGTTTTAGCTAAAATAACAGTAGGTAAAAACAATACCTTTAAACTTAGTACGAGTTTATAACGTATATACTAACGTAACGTAGACGTCTAAAGGGCCACAGCATCCCCTTACCATCACTGTGAGGACTGTGTGCTCGTTCGTCACCTTACTTGTAAAAAGTATAAATTCAATTATATTCCTTTTGCGAATTTGATCAATTTATGTCTCAGCAAAACACCAAATTTCCGCCACAATATTGCTGCAGCATGACTCTCACTTGCTGCTCCGAGGTGATAACGCATCTGTAGCCTTCTTTGTTGAAATGGGCTGCAGGTGCTCGTGGTTTGCAGTCGCCACTTAACATCATGTGGACTCGAAGTCCAATTATCACAATAGCTTTATAAAAAAAATTCATATTAAAAGCATTAAATTATTAAAGATGAAAATTCACAAAACTAAGTTACCAAAGTTTTTTATACCCCGTAGACTTACAACGATTTTTAATAGAATTTTTGTTGAAAGCAATTCGTCGAGACCAAATTCCCATCAACGAAGGCTTTGTTGCATCGATCTATCATTGACATCCATCGTAAAAACCAAACGGCGCGTCCGAACTTTGAAAAGTATTTAGAAGAATAGAAAGATATTTCTACAGAGAAGTACGATGAATAAACTCAACAGATACGTCATCATTATAATAAAAGTCCAATTCAAGTCAAATGCATAGGCCTTCCTCGAGGAGTGTCACAAAGCATGGCTCTGAGTTACCTGCATCCATCATCTTACTCAGTCTTACTCCATCTCTTAACACGTCGTTACTCCATCTAGCGAGGACCATCTTTTTTTTTTTTGCGGATGGAAAATCATCTAATGACGCCTTTCGCTCTGGGTGGAGCGTAAGGGAGTGTCAGACTTTTACTGACTAAAAACCATCCGTGTTCCTTCAGTGCCCTTACGTTCCGGAGCCGCGGTATCTCTTTCGAACAGCCCGCAGCCCCGGCAGGCGTCGGCCCTTGCGGGCCCCTACACGCTGCTGACAGCTCTTTGAGGCGCGCGTGGAACAAAACGCGCCGTCGACACGGCCTGTCGTCTTTAGACGGACGGACGGCGAGCTACCCATTGCTCGCCGTCCACAGGCCCGCGCCTACGGTGGCCGGGGGCCACGACGTAGCCCCCGACGCCCGGGGCGTCTCCCGCGGCGGCCGGGGAGGAAAGCTGCTGCTCTTTCCTTCTCCCGATCCGCCACCTCCTTCGCTAGCATCACTGCTTCGCAGAAGGTGGTGACGGCATCCCATTCCGTCTCGCTCCGGACCATGGCTTCGACCAGGGCCGGACGCGAGAGGTCGCCGCCGCCTATCGCCGCTACGAGGACACGGCAGTGCTCCGCCCAAGCAGGGCACACCTCCACGGTGCGTTCCACCGTGTCCTCCGGTCCATCCTCGCAGTGGGAGCACCCGGGCGTTTCCTCCCGCCCGATTCGGTGCAGGAACCTCCCGAACACACCGTGTCCGGTGAGGACCTGCGTCAGGCGGAAGGTGAGGATGCCGTGGCGTCTCTCAAGCCACTCCTCAAAGAGGGGTCTTATCGCCGCTATAGTGGCGTGCCCAGCACGGGGTTGCGACAGTCGCTCTCTCCATGTCGCCATGAGATCGTGACGGAAGTCTGTCCGCTGCGCGACAACTTGCCGCGGCAGCGGGGTTTCCCCCGGCATAGTGCCTCCGCGCGCCATTCGTGCAGGCGTGCGAGGACTATCCCCTCCAGATCCCATGGCGGCAATCCGGCAAGGAGGCTCGCCGCCTCGCGGGATATCGTGCGGTAGCCGCGAACCATTTTTACGGCAACCACCCTTTGGGGTGCGTTCAGGTGGTGGACGGCAAGCCGCGCCAAACCACGCGCCCACACCGGGGCCCCGTAAAGGGCCATGGATCGCACGATCCCCGCGTAGAGCCTCCGGCTGGAGGCGTTTAGCCCCCCCAGGTTCGGCAGGAGCCGCCTGAAGGCAGCCCCGGTCCGTTCCAGTTCGGGAGCCAAACGTCGGAAAAGCTCAACGAAGTTCCATCGGCCGTCGAGGACGAGTCCTAGGTACTTCAGCGTCGACTCGACGCCGATGGATACCCCTCCTACCATCACTGAGGATCCCGGTGGTGGCCTGTTCCGAGGACCATGGAAGTGCATGGCCTCGGACTTGTGCAGAGCCACCTCGAGACCCAGTTGCCGAATCCTCTCAACGACTATCGCAACCCCGCGTGTCATAGTTTCCGCCGCCGCCTCGTACGACCCCCCTTGTGCCAGTACCAGCGTGTCGTCAGCGTAGCAAACTACGCTGACGCCGGTAGGGAGGTCGGCGCGCAGCACCCAGTCGTAACCGATGTTCCACAGAGGTGGCCCCAGAACCGAACCCTGTGGGACACCGCACGACATCTCTCGCCGGTTCCACTCACCGTTGCGACCAGGGTAGATGACGGCCCTGTCCGTCAAATAGTCCCCGACTATACGACGGAGATAGGTCGGCACCCGGTGATACCGGAGTGCCTCCCTAATGCAGCTCCAGGGCATGGAGTTGAAGGCGTTGGCAATGTCGAGAGACACCGCCAAGATAACCCCCCTCTGGCCACTGCATCCCCCGTCGTGAGGGCTCTCACGCGCATTGTGGCGTCCACCGTAGAGCGCCTCTTGCGGAAACCAAACTGGTGTTCCGCAAGACCCGGCCCCGTCCCCGCAAGGTGCTCGGCGAGGTGCCCCGCAAGGTGATCCTGAACTTAGCTTATTGGTACATGGCTGACGCTCAAAAATCTTTTTCCCTATAGGTTGTCGTTTTTCGAGCCAAATGACCAGCCCATTGCTACATCAACTTATTGATCTATAATCGACTATGTACTCGTAAATTTGAGGAAATAACAAATCGAGCTTGGGTCAATTAAATGAAGTATTGAGATCTACAGAATAAGTTGCGAAAAATATCTCGAAAATATTTCTAACTTTTGAATTGTTTTTGAAACACCATTTTATTTTAGGTCTATCATAACGTATAATAAAGCGTTTCTTCGATGAAAGCGAACATTTAATTTATTCATATTTCCTTTGCGTGTTTATAATTTACTGTCGTGTGTTCTAGTCGTAAGAAAATTCCTGACCCCATTTCGTCTTGTTGGTGTCACAGCAGTTGACTAAGGAAAACATCCGTCTTTGATATTATATGGGTACAATAAATATTATACAAAAAGCATTTATTTACCATAGATATAATTACATACTATACTTTACGATTATATAAAAAAATTATTACCACAGAGTGGCACCCTCGTACCGGTAGGCGAAAAAGCAACACTATTAAATGGAGTGACGACCTGGTAAGACATGCAAGAAGTCGATGGATGCAGGTGGCTCAGGACCGGGCTTTGTGACATTCCTTGGGGAGGCTTATGTTCAGCAGTGGACTTGTGAAGGGGTGTAATGGTGATGATGACAACGCGCTAAGTTGGCTACTAAGATTGAAAAATGAGATTTCATTTGTCTCCCTCATTGTAGGTACTAGGCGAAAGAGTCCTGAAGGGGCTGAAAAACGACATTCCACCAAAAATGGGACATCTAATAACACTAGTCATGTGGTTATGGCGTAAGAAAATATGTCGCTTCGTTGTCATTAGTTCGTTAGAGTCCACTGCTGGACATTGGCCTAATCCGTTAGGGACGATAAGAGAATCCACTACTTAATTTCGTCCCTTGGGTGTCATAATATTCAGTAAAACCAAAAAAGATCTCACGGCCTCCAACAGATGGCGTTATATGTGAGCTGGGCGTGTTCTGCAGAATAAAATTTCATATAGGCACACCACTTGTAACTTTACAAAGCGCAGGTTTGGCCTCACATGGAATATTGTTCTCATCTCTGGGCCGGGACTACCCAGTGCCCGCTCTATCTACTTGAACTCAGCCAGGGTAGAGCGGATCGAACCGTCGACGACCAAGTTCTCCCTTATTGGCTCGATTCACTGGCGCTGCGAAGAGATGTTGCACCCCTTTGCAATTTCTATCACATTTACCACGGGGAGTGCTCTGGGGAATTGTTCAATACCTAGACTTGAGACTGTAATGTGATGAACCTATCCCAAGCATGGAGTCTTCAGTTTCAGTTTCAGTCGTCAGTTTCAGAGTTCTTCTTTAAATTATACATAACCTTAATTCAGATACACGATGATTTCTAATATTTAAGGAATGAAAAGTTTTCTTGAGTTTAGGCGTAAAAATCGAAATTTCAAGTTCTAATAAAATTAAATAAAACTACTTAAATATAAAAAAATAAGTTAAAAAATTGTGCTTGTGAATCAAATACATTTTTATTCCATTTATCGATAAAATAATATTATTTTATTTATGTCCGAAAGTGCTTTTGTTTTTAAAAAGTAATGGGTTTATTTTTAAATGCTCACCGTGTGTTGCTCTCTATATTATTAAAATTAATAACCACCAAATACAAACATCCTTTTTCTTTAACTTGCCTTACCGGTTTTTTCGCAAAAAACCTTGGATCGGGCAAATAACATATGGAGTTGAAGCCACATAAAAAATACGCTGGATGTTGGGTTAAAAAAATCGGAAGTGTGTTCGTGTTTTTATATAAAGTAAACAAAAACTTATGTTTGTTTAGTTTTTGTTTGTCAGATGATGAGCAGCGTCAAGTGTGATACCATCACTACGCTTTATTGGCGGATTAACAACGTACGTACCAGATGCTCGCAAATCTTGAGTCTGCTGCCCGTCACCGGTCTTTTTATTACAATATTTTTTTAAATACTATGCCTTTAACATTACTTATATTGACGTTAACCACACCAGGCAAGCTTATATTTGTAACTTGTGTCAGAAGTGGTTCACGACAGCACTTAGTCGGGTGTCAGTAATCATTAGAGTAGCGGATTTGAACCCTCAACTTTTCGAGTTTGCGGTCAAACAGCACAATGTTTGGCCGTATTTTTTTTTCGTGTGTTTGTCACGCGATAT